CTATCAAATATTCAATAAGTTGTCTTGCGTTATATTCAAAATTGGAAGGGGTTTAAGGAAGCACGTCGTATTCTTATTCGAATTATGGTCAAGTTACAGTAATTGGGTCATGTTTCATATTTTTATAAGAATTTGCATACGGCTGAAGTATGTTAAACAAGAAATAAAAAATGTCCGTTTTATTAACATGATTAATATGAAATAATAATAGGTTCGCCGACTTCGTATTTGATCGACCAACCGTTCTTGTTTATGTATTATTCAATCTGTTATTGTGTTTAAAACACAAAAGACGTTTTATGGCTTTACAAAAGCTTCTTTTGACTATAATTTATACCAAAACAACTAATCCGGTGTCAATATAATTATTTTACATCATTTTAAAACGGAGATTTATATGTATGGCAACAATATATCGATCTTTTAGAAAAATCTTTTTTTGGATTAAGAAAAAGGAGTTAATTTTTAAAGATAATTTTGACATAGTTTTGAATATATTTTGTGTGTGACGGTGGTCACTTTATTAACGTATTTAGATTATTAATGTTGGGGAAATTTATCTTATAAATAAACATTTACGTAGTTTGTCCAATATTCAAGAACTTGGGTAGATAACGGAAAGACAATGAAGCTGAGTTATATAAAGTTCATATGAACATTCTATACATTTGTTGAACTATTTGAAGGATTGCCATTCTGTTATATTTTAGCAAGTTTAACACTTAAATTGATGGTTTTTTTTTATCTTAAGTTAGAGTAAGTTCAATCTGTAAAAATTGTATGCAAAATTTTAACCGTTTATTATTTACTGTTTTGTTTTGTTTTGTTTTGTTTTGTTTTGTTTTTTTTGGCCTTAAAACCAATGATGCTCTAAAACACAATTTCCGAAATCATTAAGCAAAGCATTTCTTATGCAAGAGTCTAGATATTACCCCTTTTAGCCAAATCAATGGCTGTCTCTTTGCCAATCCCTGTATTAGCTCCAGTAATGAGTACAGTCTTCCCATCTAATCTGGTGGTTGTGTTGTTGTACCTTACACCTGCCATATGCCGTCTTAAACATGCTAAACCCACCGCTGCAATGTAACTTATGTTTTGAATTTTTTAAAAGATAACATTTTTTATCTGCATGATTAACAGTTGCGAGAATGAATGATAAATATAGATTCTACCACTGCATCGAGTGTGATACGATATTTATCCACTCGAGACAGTTAAATTTTCAAATTTAAAACGCGAGGCTCGCCGAGCGTTTTAAATATTTAAAATTTAACTGTCGAGAGTGGATAAATATCGTATTACACGAGATTTGGTGGTGGAATCTGTTTCTCTAATGATTTTCAAACAATACGCAGGCAAATTTATTCCTTCTTTTCGAATGATCTGCAAAAAAGATGTGTTCTTTCTATGTGACGTCACCAGGCATGGTCGCCTTTTTTCATGCCGTCACGATAGGAAATTCAGAGGAAAGCAAGAAAATTCGACGTCATAATCGGATTTTAACCAATGAAGAACTGAGATCAAACGAACCACACGTTGATTAAATTTTTTTTTATACAATGCGTGCAGAAAGGAATAAATTGACGAAGAATTAGAGAAATATAGATTCTACCACTGCATCGAGTGTGATACGATATTTATCCACTCGAGACAGTTTAATTTTCAAATTTAAAACGCGAGGCTCGCCGAGCGTTTTAAATATTTAAAATTTAACTGTCCAGAGTGGATAAATATCGTATTACACGAGATTTGGTGGTGGAATCTGTTTCTCTAATGATTTTCAAACAATACGCAGGCAAATTTATTTTTCTTTTCGAACGATCTGCAAAAAAGATGTGTTCTTTCTATGTGACGTCATCAGGCATGGTCGCCTTTTTTCATGCCGTCACAATAGGAAATTCAGAGGAAAGCAAGAAAATTCGACGTCATAATCGGATTTTAACCAATAAAGAACTGAGATCAAACGAACCACACGTTGATTAAATTTTTTTTATACAATGGGCGCAGAAAGGGATAACTTGACGAAGAATTAGAGAAATAATTGTACGTCATATTTGAAAGGTTAAAAGTTGGAATGAAACTGGTTAACGGGATTATTATATAAACTAAATTGGGAAAAACAATTAAAATTCCACGTGTTTATCACTGTATAGAAACGTTAAAAGTCAAAGTAAATTCATTCAATTCCTTATTTATGATAATGTGTTAATCATGTTAATCCTAGCTACCACTAGCAGATCAATAATTTTAAAAATAGTTTAACAACAGCTGCATAAATGTAAAAAAATGGCTAGCTGTATTTTATGGTAGCATTCATTGTTTGTAACACTAAAGAGTACATACCAATAAGAACAACTGATACGACGGTTACTTTAAACATCATGCTGAAATAAATGAACGATGCATACACAAAGTAGAGTTATCTTTTATTTATTTTGAAATACCGGTAACGGATGTATGGCACGCTAAAATGACACTAGTCAGATTCTTTTGAACGGATTTAAATACAGAATAAGGCCTTCAAATCACTCTGACACAATATCACTAATACCCTTTGATATGATAGTATCATGCAATATAATAGTATTATGCGGGCCAACATGTCAATTCTACTTAATTCCCCAAAACTGATAATGCTAGCCTACATCAGTCAAAAAATATCATTACAAAGCTGGTTTGACTGAAATTTAAAAAAAATGTGTTGTTCGCTATGTATACTATTAATTTCATTAATTGATATATTTAACTCTAATTTCATTGAACATGTTGAATCTATGTGCGTGTTTTAGCATCATTTATAAGATATTTTACAAGAGAACAACATAACAGACATGATATGATAAAGATTCTTTGATACCCAGTCAGCACTTTGTTTAAGTCCTTGTATTTAAAACATAAATTTGGCAGTGTAACTCTTTCTATATGGAATCAAAGAAAAATCAGTGACTTATCAAGAAAATAAACTACTTACTCTGAGAAAATCTGAACACAGTCATACTGTTGCTTATACTATTGGTCCTGTAACAGCTAGTTAGACTTAGTAGCAACAATAGTATAAATTATTAGGCAACAGTATGTAACTGTGTTCAAAAGGCAATGATTTTCCCCAAGACCAATCTATGAAACGCTGTGACAGTGTCGGATGTCTATAAAGCTGCGCAATATTTTCAGGGTTGAGACCGAAACAAACCGCCGTCGGTTTTTATGTAGTTTGAGTGCATATATGTTCTAAATTAGTATATGATACCAAATGGCTGCTAATTAGTAAGTTCACGAAGGATTAAAAGTGGGGCTAAGACTTTGATGTTTTTCTTAATTACGCCAAAATATTACAAATTACTTTTATAGCTGACTATGCGGTATATGGGCTTTGCTCATTGTTGAAGGCCGTAGGGTGACCTGTCACGTAGTAGTTAATTTCGGTGTCATTTGGCAATCATACCACATTTTCTTATTTTTATACAAAACCATTATTTTTATGACAATATACCAATAATATTTTGGCCTAGAGTGCACCTTGTTCTTTTCGGTCTAAATTTTTACTATAATTAACAAATTTGATGCAGAAATATGATTCATTTGTCAGACATACCACTGGTAGTGACTTCAATTTTTCTTTTTTATGTATTCTAAAAGCTATTGATTAGAGCTATATGTTCTCATATTTTATTTTTTAAATTCTATGTGATTTTTTGTTGTTGTTTCTATATATCATATTCTCTCAAAATTGATGTTCCGTGTATAATCCATACACACTCAGCGGCAGATTTGTACAAGTTACGTATACTATTCAGCTTGAAAAAAAGCTCAGTGACCCATACTTTTTAGATTTTTTTTTCAATTAGCACTAAATAAACTCCACTTTGGCAAAGTATGAAAAATCTATATTGTTTTTGGTTTTTTTTTGGGGTTTTTTTTTTTGTCCTAGTCTTCCTCAAACATTCGATCTAACCTGGGAGTAGTATACTCAATATATATTATGTCCCAGGTCTAGTCATAAAATGCTAGACCGACGAGGGTTTTTTAACGACCTTGACTACCCATGAGGGTCTAGCACGGTCGGTGTGCTAGACTTACTTATGGGGTTTTTTAACGACCTTGGCTGGCTATAAAGCCCTCGCACGGTGGTAATGATGGGAGTTTTTAACGACCTTGACAGGCTATACAGCCCTCACACGGTCGGGTAGTTAACGCCATCTTTAATTGTAAATTAGCAAAAAATCAATCGGTTTGATCAATAATGAAATGTGCAAATCTTGAGAGAGGAATGCAACTTATTTTTATAGGACTTTTCACTTTAATAGTGAATAATTACGTATTCCATCATATTATAATGACTGTTTTTACAAATACAAATAAGTGTTTTTAAAAAAAATCAACTTAATAGTCATATAAGGGGAGGTAACTCAGATGATCTAACTTTTATCAAGGAATACACAGTAACTTCAGCTGTTTCGTAGCTATAATTTTGAAAAAAGAACAAGTCCTGTGACACTAATTTTTCTTTTCCTTTTCTGGAAGCACTTTATATTAGCTATCGTCTATATATATATATTCCTTTGCATAAAATTAGGGTTTAAGTGTATAATCTTTACAAAATCTGACCATTTGAAGGGGGGAAAAAGATCCGCGGTACATTCTTTTTATCATATTTTTTTTAAAGCATGATACAAACTGCATTTTAGCATCGTATAATTTTGTTTATCGTTTTAAATCTAGACCCCCTGATTGATATAACACATCCTTGACTGTACAATCAATACTGTACAGGAATTTATGTTACATTTATGATTGTCTATGAAAATCTGTATTTTTTTCAAAATATTTGCACTGGATAAACAAATAAAAAGTGTTTACCAATGACATTTCTTGTTAATTGTTGCTAACAGTAGTGATCTTATTTTGAAATGAAATTACGGTAGCGCATTCAGTTTTCCGTAGTTCTCCTCAAAGGAGGTATCTATCTATAAGAGTTAGTGTGACAAAAACAAATGTGTTTCCCTTCCCTGTCTAAAATGGTTCCATAAACAAAAATGAGTTCACCGAAACATAAAGAAAGAAGGAGTTCTAGTGGACCCATAGATTTACCAGCCCTCTATTCAGTGTTCTATGGGGAGGTTAATATTATTGTTATCGCTTTCACTGGCTGATTCATTCAAAGTTTTATTTAGAGTCGGTAGGATATACATGTATTGTCTATTGACTATACACCTTATCGCTATTTGTCCGCCATTACTGGACATCACATAGGTTCCCGTAAAATTTTGACGTCACAATACAAAATATCTGACGCCACAATGGAAAAGTGATTGTTGTATGACGTCAAAAGTTCAAGCGGGACAGATTCTCGGGTCAGCCGGGAATAGCGATAAGGTGTATTGTGATGGTGGTCACTTTGTATACTTATTTATGGGCCCTTATTTATACTATTTATTCATGGAAATTGGTTACATTTAGTATTATTTATAGTTCCGTTATTGTTTCCCACGAGACCAGCAATGTAAATATTCTTGTCTGGTTACTACTTGTTTCTTGCATGTGCCTGATATCCAGGCCGGACTCGTCCCTACGAACTATAGATATGATGTCACTCACCAGGTTCAGAGCAGGCTACTGCTTAGGATTTAAAATGAACAGACACTCATACTTGGCTTGCAGATATGGAACATTTCATAAGGCAACAAGTTGACTAGCCACCACTATTCTTTTATATTTATTGCAGTCTTTACGATAACCTTTTGAATCCACAGGCCGGAAGACTGTTAATGTAATTGTCAGTCGGGGTAATACTTAAACTAAGTGTTTTTTATTTACTGGTACATGTAAATATTTTTGGAGGTAGAGTTATATCCCTTAGACATTCAAGTTGTCTGTCATTAATAGTTGTCATTACTATTCATAAAAGTAAAATATGACAATGAAAGTATCATTTGTCTGTTATCTTCAAAATACTGCTCATTTTCCATGTTTACAAGTCTCCAAGGAGCAATTTTGAAGGCCTTGCGCAATTAATCATTTCTGGAATCATGTCTTTCACAGGAAAAGATCGTCAATTTCGCATGCCTTTATGACGTCATTTACCAGATAGAAGATGCACCTGTATCCCTGCTCTATTAAAGGTTTCCAGCACTTTCATAATCGTCATTCTGTAGGGTAGTATATAAATAGTTTACGTAATCCTGATTGCTGTAGGATGGAGGAAGGGTGACAATCTTATTAGATTTTAATTTCCGAAATATTTTATGCAGTATAATATAAAACTTTTTCACCCGTTTGCTCAACATGTGTTGGAAATGACGATGCATACATTTTTTTCACATGGTGATGGACATCACATGACAGATTCGTCTAAAAACTGTATTCAGGAACTGGCCTTTTACTTAACATCTGTGCATAATAGGTTTCTTTGCTAGGTTCTTGAGATAAAAGTTTAAACTTTATAAATTAAAAATTAATTAGCAAAATAGAAAAATTCTGTTTAGGCATGTCTTGACCTCCCAAAACATGAGAATGTAAAGGGTTGTAAAAAAAATTTACTTGCATAAGTAAATTTTTGGAGAAGATTAAGTGGAGATAATTCACACCTTGAAATTAAAATAAAAATCTTACAAATTTACTTATACAAGTAAATGATACTTACATCTACAAGCGAATAAAAATGACTTGTATGAGTATTTACCACTGAAAGTTTGTGGTCAACCTTATGTCTCTTAAAAAAGTACATCTTCACAAATATTTCAAAAGCCAAAGCTGTGAGACTTGCTTATAACTGATTGGTGCTGCCTTAAACATGTTAGACTCAGATTTATATCTGGTTTCAAATCAGGGTCCAATCTTGACATCATTCTATCAAATTGAAGTCTTTCTCTTATCTATGACCAATATGATGTCATGTATTATCCAAACAAAATCTTGTATTATTCTTCTCATATCAAGAGTTTATTATGTTTAACAATTTATCCCAAGATTGATGTCTTTTTATGTTTGGTGTAAATCCATGGTGCAAATAACAAGACAAACAACAACAAGTTCTTGAAAAATACATATTTTTATGTCTTTGTAACTTCATTTATATTTGGGGTCCCTGTTTTATAGGGTAAGGGCTCAATTTACTGTGTTTTATGGTTAAGTTCTAATGTTAAGGCTAATGTTTGGGATATGTGTGGTTCAAGATTAGATTTAGGATTAACTTAATGAAGCTCTATATAAGTAATATTAAGACCCCTTAATTAAATAAAGGGCCAACATTGACTCTTCTGGTCATTGGCTTTGGTGATTTCCCCATAGATCGGCATGTCAGTACAAAACGTCTCCCCATTGTCCATTTTGTTTACTTTGTGATAAAAGGGCAAATTTTATACAAGCTACATTTGTATATTATAAAAACAAATAAAACTTACCTACCAACATGGTATTTAAAGACAGAAAATGTAACACTTATGTAAAGAAACAGTAGAAGATAGAAGTCATTTATTATAAGACTGTCCTGTTCTTGAAAACTGTAGAAAGTAATTCATCAATGACCTGAATTATAAATGTAACAATTATATCAAGCTTTCCTTAGAGAATGAATTTTTATTGGTAATGACTAATAAAGATATTTACAATGTATGTTATAAAACTTAATTTAAATTAAATATGATGTCAGAACTGACAGGAAATCGTGATTCATTACTAAATCAAACCCAAATCTGAAAGGAATAGGCCTGGTAAGCAGTCAGGGATATAACTCTATAGGGTTATTAGAGAAAAATAACATACATTTGTTATTATGGACTAAAAAATCAAAGAACTGTGATAACATATGTATGTTACATGTTTCAAAGGGCCAATATACATCATTTGTTTGGTTAAAATGTATACAAGATCTATTGATATTATTATTGTCTTTATGTATACTAAACTATAGAAAGATTTAACAGTTCATAGTTTGCCAATCATGCATAGTACACCTATGTTATTACAGAAAAAATATGCCTGTAATAACTAAAGGGTGTCATTATGTTTATATGATGAGTACAAATTCAGTATATTATTGTTTAGGTGCACATTTTAATCAGTATTATTTTTATCAATAGGTAGCAGCATTACAACCCTATGGAGCTTTTATTAAAATTCCTGGCTACAGAAAACAAGGTGAAAGTAATGTTTGCTGTTTCAAAATTGAAAATGAAATAGATTCTGATTTCAAACTGGAAATGATTCAGTTAGCAAATTATATTACATGCATGTTCAAAATTATAATTATTAGGATTGTTTACATCAGATTTTTTCTTGTGGGTTTTGTTGATGAAACTAGAAGTACTTTATGACAAAATAATTTATACATAAAATGTAATTTTGTGCTTATTAGTCTCCTACCAGCAAAGCCGAAGAGGGACTTTAGGTTTACACTCTGTCCGTCCGTTTGTCTGTCCATCCGGATGGTGTAAGTTTTCCACACTTTTTTTTATTGTGCTTGAAGATATTGATTGGATATTAAGTGTATGGTTTTATCATGACAAGTTACAGGCGTAGTTTGAGTAGTTTGAATTATGTTCCAGTTTGATGATTTTGTGCAGAGTTATGGTCCTTTTACTTAGAAAATTCACGCAAATAAACAGTTTTCCACACTTTTTTTCGTTATGCTTGAAGATATTGTTTTGATATTTGGTATATGGTTTTACAGATCAAGTTTGAATTTAGTTCTGGTTTGATGATTTTGTGTAGAGTAAAGGTCCTTTAACTTACAAAATTCGTGCAAATGGTCAGTTTTCCACTCTTCTTTATGTCATGCTTGAAGATATTGATTTGATGTTTGTTATATTGTTTAACCATGATAAGTTATAGATCAAGTTCGAATTTTGTTCCATTTAGATGATTTTTTTGCAGAGTTATGGTCCTTGGACTTAGAAAATACACAAAAGTAATCAGTTTTTCGCACTTAATTTGTCATTTTGTTCCAATGCAATACTCTCAGAATGCTTGCTGAATTTAGTTTGGATTAAATTTCTAGAGTTACAAAATGTATGTTCCTAAAGTTTAGTTTTAAATTTGATTTCTAAAGTTGTGCCCATATATTATCTGTAGAGCAGATGTGGAGCAGAATCTGCTTACGTACCCTTCTGGAGCACCTGAGACCACCCTCAGTTTTTTGTTGGGTTTGTGGTGCTCAGTCTTTAGTTTTCTATGTTGGGTTTTATGTACTGTTGTTTGTCTGTTGGTCCCCTTTTTTTTGCCATGGCATTGTCACTTTAATTTCACTTTATGAGTTTGAAATATAGCTTTTTTATATGAGGTTTATTACCATATCTATTTATGAAATATTAAAAGTTACATTGTATTAACTTGAAAATTTAAACACTTTTTACCAAATAATACTGAATGATTTTATTGATTTTGTGAATCTCTTCATCTTTTGTGGTGTAGAATATGAATAACATTCAAGACATAAATAGAAAAACAAATGATATAAAGCCAATAAATAACAGCTTACATTGAAGACATATATAAACACTGTATGATATTCAACCATTTGACAAGCTGTAAATCTAGAAAAGTCATAAGTAAATTAAACAGCAATGAAATAAGATCTGACAACACCAAATTACATACAGGCAAAAACTTTAAGAGGAAGTATAAGAATTGTAAATTCTTCTCTCATGATATAAATCATAACAAATTCAGTATTTGAGATCTGATGAAAGAACGGTAAATGAAAGAGTGAGACCTGCAAGTATATATGTATACATAAATTTTAAAGGCTTCATATATCTGTATCCTGCAAGTTGTCTCCTTCACTTTCTTTGTTTGGGTTATTTATATAGAAATAGTTATATATAATATGTGTTCTCTTTTATGACAAAAGGTCTGGTCCATAAGTCACAGATGTCTAAAGCTAGGGTGGAGGATCCTTCAGAAATGTTAGCTGTTGGAGAGATGGTGTATTGTAAAGTTGTATCAGTAGAGGTATATAAGTTTTACTATTGAAAAGTTGTATGGGGCTCAATAAAAAAATAAGTTGAATAAAACAACAGCATGACCATAAGAAAAAACAAACAACTGTGTACAGAACATTGCATATAAAGCTTAAGATTAAGCAACACACGAACTTTATTAATGAATACATTCGAATACCCACCCCCCTTACACACACACACACACACACACACACACACACACACTCACATACACAAAAATAAGATATACATAGTCCAAGATGATAGGTCCAGATAAAGGGTTTCTTGAAATGTCTTCTTAATCTTTAATGAGATGTCAGTCATGCCAAATCTGAGTGAGAAAAGTTAAAAAAATATTCTGGTGAACAGGCAAACATGCTACATACATGTACATACTGTGGTTTAACTACAGAATATGAGGAAATGAGAAGGGAAGGCTAGATAAATATTTTATTTATTATTGAAACAATGGTTGAATGACTCTCAGTCTTAATATGGTACAAGTACTTTAGAATGAAAGTGATTGTTTGCACAAGATTAATGGCATGCTGAATATAAAACATCAGGTTATACTCTGAATCACTAGACAATGCCAGATTTACTAAAAATAAAAAATTAACTGACAACAGGTTTATAATCAGAGAATGAATAAAGACATGTACAAATCTGAGTAAAATAAAAACAGAATTTAATAAACTGAGTACACAATATTTTTCTAGAATGAATAAATATGTGATAGCTTTTATGCATGATAAAATTTGATAGAAAATGATGACAAACTCTTAATATTATTTTCTGTATTACTGATGTATTATATGATTGTATATATTTTAGTAATGAGTTATATATTCAGGGAGATAAGATTGGACTGTCTATGAAGGTTATCAACCAAACCACTGGAAAAGATGAGGACTCAGCAAATGTTCAGCTTAGGTAGGAGTTATGTTCCCTTTAATTGCACTTATTTATTAACATTTACCTTTGGTATCATGTATTTTATTTTATTTTAATAATGGCTCTAATCATAACTCATTTTGTACAATAACTTGAGTATTCTTGCAATGATTTAATGGTAACTTTACATAATTTTTGGAATTGGGGAAAAAAAGAGTATTTTAGATTTTGAAAATTTTCCAATTTGTAATTCCAGAGTTATGGTACATTGACTGTCAGATTAATTAAAAGCAAATTTTTACATGTCATCACTTCTAGAGTTTGCTTGGATTAATTAACTACAAACTTTACTCTGTTGTTGGGATTTTAGACTCATATTTGATTTCAAAAATTTTCTGGTTTGTTGATTCAGTGTTATGGGACCTAAATAGTCACATGTGATGCATAAACATGCATGTTTTCTACAGAGCTATTTTACTAACTTCTGATTAGATGACTGCTAACTATTTCATTTTATTCTTGCAACAATAGAGATGTGTTCCTATGCATATTTTCAGTTTGGATGAAAGAAAAAATAGAAAAGGATTTCGAATGGAAAGAGCAAAAATTGAACTGGGTGCTGTCTTAGATACAACATGCAAGAAGTGTGGTGGCCATGGTAATTACTTTTACTGACATAAAGGCTCACAAATTTTGAGCAATTTGAGCTTTAGATACTTGCTTTGTTTTAATAGGTTACTTTGTTCAATGTCTAAAGTGAAATTTTACCTTATTATTTGGGACTTTTTCTTTTATCTAATAAATAAAAAAAGAGAAAAGTATAAAGTATCTCTATATATAAGAATGATGAGATGTGGTATGATTGCCAATGAGACAACTATCAACCCGAGACCAAAGGATGTAAATATAAACTAGAGGTCATTGTACAGCTTAAACCGATGAATGAATGCTATACTCAATAGTAAGCTATAAATATCTTTTTGCCAATTCAGTGCAACTCTTTTCAGGGGCGTTTCTAGGATATTTGAAAGAGGGGTGTAGAATCAAATCTTTTGCTGAGCGGAGCAAGGCGAAAATTTTTTGGACCTTTTTTTTGCTAAAAAAACATAAAATATTTGTGAAATGCACTAATGTAACGGTTCCTGACTTGAAGCATGTATATTTTATAGTTATATATAGAGTGTCAGGGTTTGACATTTTTTATGCCGAATTCTCTCCATTAATTGTCTATGGTATATTAAAATGATTGTATGGATCTTAACAGCAGTAGACCAATAACGAGAAATTCCACTGAATTCTAGGGTATAAGGCGTTACTTAACATTTCAATATTCCTAGGCCAGGATTTTATGAACGGGAGGCGAAATTACGGTTGCCCTGGTAGAGGGTCCATGGGAAAGCTCAGAAGCTCCTGGATTTCAACAATTTAGCATCAAATAATGAAGTAGCCAGACTGATAAATATCTCTCTATTTTAGATTCAAACACTGAAGTATAAAGTTCTTTCGTTCTAAATATTGTAGGCTTTAATGTGGAATACATGATTGAATATGAAAAATTGACGTCATTGTACTACAATACTAAATTAAAGCAATCATGTCACTGTCTAGTTCCGATAGGTGGTATATGGTACATAAATAAATATGGTGCTTGAACTTGATGGCAATATATAGGTCAATGTCACTTAGTTACTCACTAATGGATATTGAAACATTATGATACTACCAAAGGCTATCCAGATGGGAAGTAAAATGCTATACCAAATATACATGTTACTAGTATAAATGTACCTTAAGGCAAAACCTAAAATGAACACAGAAATACCGACGGACTCTCATTTTCAATCAATGGTTAGACTAGAGTGGATTCATTAGAACAATTTTCAGAGTATATGTTTAATTAATGAATATGATAAATTGCCATATTCAATACAGTATTAGCAGATTACGATAGTTTTTGTGTTTTTTTTTTTTTTAAAAGGGGGGGCGTACGCCCATTACGCCCTCACCTGGACCTGCCCCTGCTTTTTCTAAAAGCCTAAAAAATCTATTTGTAAGAAATAACTCTTATAATATTTGTTGATATGAACATACAGCAAACAAATTTCTTTACATAAATATTCACACATAGTATCTAAATTTGGCATTTATGTGATTGAACCAACAGGAAAGGTTGAAATGGGGGGATGGGCTAAGGGCCCATGGGCAAATTTAATCTCTTACAAAATCATGTGAAAGGTAGGTATGTGAGGCTTCCTCAATAACTGATACAAATGCATAGATCTGACACTTTTAATTTATGGTTTGAAAATATTTAGTGCATTCAAGAAAATAATTGTGAGAGATGTGTATATAATACAGACAAACACTGGTAATTTATTAATATGAAAAATAAGAATGTGTGATATGATTGCCAATGAGATAACTGTCCACCACAGTCCAGAGAGAAGTTAGCAAAGAGACCACTGTACAGCTTTCAACAATGAGCAAAACTGATACCACAAAGCAAGCTATAAAAGGCAGCGAAATAACAAATGTAAAACAATTCAAATGAGAAAACTAAAAACAGATTTATGTACAAAACAATAAACGAAAAACAAATATGATATACAACAACATACTTCAAATACTTAAATAAGAGGCTCTTGCCTTAGGACAGGCACATACAGAGTGCTGCTGGGTTAACCAAGTTTATAGGTGACCAACCTTATATTAAATTAAGGTTCTTGCATGTGGACTTTGCATTAGGACTTTTTTGTCAATGGAAATAATATAAAAAATAACTCATGTGAATTTAGACCAACTTAATTCTGTGAACCTTTTAACATGTTTAATTATTCTATTATTTATAAAACTATATAAACTTCAACTAAGCCTTAGTACATACACTCTTATGGAGGTGACCACTTGTCCATAAACTTTATTATTACCCTAAATACCATGAATAATTGGTAAAATAATTATTGGATTTTTATCACATTTTTTAATAGAAAAGATAGGGTATACTGTATCAATTAGTGACACTAAATCACCATGTGCACATGAAATAAAATGCTCCGCAGGGTGCAGCTTGATACGACCACAGAGGTCGAACCCTGAACAGTCGGGGCAAGTATGGACACAACATTCAAGCTTGATACAGCTCTAAATTTGGATTGTGATTAAATATTTGACACAGCATAGGTTTCTGACACAGAATGAATGTGGTCTAAGAACTTAAAAATTTTAAATTGGAATTTCAACTATTATGGTCCAATATCCAAAATCTAAATACATGGTTAGATTCAGCATATCAAAGAACCCCAAGAATTCAATTTTTGATGAAATCAAACAAAGTTTAATTTTGGACCCTTTTGACCTCAATGTGGACAAAGTTGATAATGGGGCCCAAAAATCAAAAATCTAAATACATGGTTAGATTCAGCATATCAAAGAACCCCATATATTCAATTTTTGTTGAAATCAAACAAAGTTTAATTTTGGACCCCGATTTGGACCAACTTGAAAACTGGGCCCATAATCAAAAATCTAAATACATGTTTAGATTCAGCATATCAAAGAACCCTAAGAATTCAATTTTTGTTAAAATCAAACTAAGTTTAATTTTGGACCCTTTGGACCTTAATGTAGACCAATTTGAAAACAGAACCAAAAATTAAGAATCTAAATACACGGTTAGATTCGGCATATCATAGAACCCCAATAATTCAATTTTTGATGAAATCAAACAAAGTTTAATTTTGGACCCTTTGGACCTCAATGTGGACCAATTTAAAAACGGGGCCCAAAATCCAAAAACTTAATACACGGTTAGAATCAGCATATTAAAGAACCCCAAGAATTCAAGAATAAAACCCCATTGAAATTGGTCAAGAAATAAGCATAAGAAAGTATCTTCTTTTGCACAATACTGTGCAATTGAATATTTCTTGCTATTGCGCAATACTGTACAATTGACAATTTCTTGCTATTGCGCAATATTGTGCTATTGGATATTTCTTGCTATTGCACAATACTGTGCAATTGAAGATTTCTTGCTATTGCGCAATACTGTGCAATTGAAGATTTCTTGCTATTGTGCAATACTGTGCAATTGAAAATTTCTTGCTATTGCACAATACTTATTTTATAATAATTTACACATCCTGTTTGGTGTGTATCTCCTACCATATCATTATTATTTGCTTTTAAATATAAAACAGAAATAACCAACTTAAAATGGAAAATTTTAAAGGAAAAAAAGATAAAAAAGGAAGAAAAAAAAAATCCCCCCCCCAAATTTTTTGAACCCCCTTATGATTTATCACCCCCAAACTCAATTCCAGCCTTCCCTTTGTGGTATGGTACCTTGCAGTACAATTTCAGAGAGATCCATACACTTGAACACAAGTTATTGTCTGGAAACTAGAAAAATGCTTATTTTTGGCCCCTTATTCCTAAACGTTTTGGGCAATTACCCCCAAACTCAATTCCAGCTTTCCCTTTGTGATATGGAACCTTGCAGTACAATTTCAGAAAGATCCATACACTTACACACAAGTTATTATCTTGAAACTAGAAAAATGCTTGTTTTTTGCCCCTTTTTGGGCCCCTAATTCCTAATATTTTGAGGCAATTACCCCCAAAATCAATCCCAGCATTTCCTGTGTGATATGGAACCTTGTGGTACAATTTCAGAGAGATCCATACACCTGAACACAAGTTATTGTCTGGAAACTAGAAACATGCTTATTTTTGGCCCCTTTTTGGCCCCTTATTTCTAAACGTTTTGGGCAATTACCCCCAAAACTCAATTCCAGCTTTCCCTTTGTGATATGGAACCTTGTAGTACAATTTCAGAAAGATCCATACACTTACACACAAGTTATTGTCATGAAACTAAAAAAATGATTGTTTTTTGCCCCTTTTTTGGCCCCTAATTCCTAATATTTTGAGGCAATTACCCCCAAAATTAATCCCAGCATTCCCTGTGTGATATGGAACCTTGTGGTACAATGTCAGAGAGATCCATACACTAACACACAAGTTATGTCTGGAAGTTACAAAAATGCTTATTTTTGGCCCCTTTATGGCCCCTAATTCCTTAACTGTTGGTACCATAACCGCCAAAATCAATCCCAACCTTCCTTTTGTGGTATTGAACCTTATGGTAAAATTTCATAGAGATCCATTCACTTAAACTAAAGTTAGAGTGCGAAAACCAATGTGTCTTCGGATGACGCCGGACGACGACGACGCCAACGTCATACCAATATACGACCGCAAAAAAAACCAAAAGCAAAGAAACGGCTTTTCATCGTTGTTTTTCATCTCAAAGTCATAGTGAGACCTCAGTTATCTGAAGTTTTTCTCAAACACCAATTGCCATTCAATTATGACTTCTTCTTAAAACATAGTATCCAAGTTACAATGATAAACAAAAAAAGAAAATTTACTGTGCCTTTATATTTGAATTATTTTGTAGGGCATTTGGCTCAAGACTGTTTCCATGCAAAAGGAGGCAAGACATATGAATTAATTCCAGAAGATGAACTTGTTTCACCTAGTAAAGAAACTGATACTTCATCTAGTAGGAAAAGAAAAAAGGTCAATACTTATTTCATTTACATTCATGATGGGGATAAAGGATTGGCTGAGATAGTCGTACATTGGAGAAAAGTTTTAAAGCGCGGGAAATCTTTAGCATTTATAATTTAAGTCTACAGGGTAGATGACTATGGAAGATCCCTCTAAATAAATATCTAACTTCACATCAGGACCAATATTTTAAGACTCATATATATATAAGAGGTTCAATCAATATTTATTATGAATATTTATTTATTATTTATAATTAATATTTGCTTTTGTGAATCAAGATAAAGTTTGAAATTATTTGTTTCCTCTCTTTCAATTTCAATGTGCATTTAATGTATATCATGAGTTATACAGCTTTGTACTGAAATCTCATGTTTCACCATAATTGTCCCTTGATGCTGCTAAGTTTTAAAGTTTTGAGGACATAAAAAGGACATATTTAAAAAAAAAAGTGGTATGGCTTTGAATTCCAAAAATGTCAAGACAGTTACATGATGAAAACAAGGAGGAACATGGATGAGATTTTGCATAGGACATCCCTAAAAAATAACTGTTGTCAAAATCTCTAAGGTTTCAACTCCCTCTGGTGAAGTTTAGATTTTAGTATTATTTTAAGGTCCCTTTAGGTCATATAAGTCTTCAAGTGTTTCAGTACTAATACATCCTTGACTTTCAAATTTTTTGGCTTTGAGCTTTCCTGATAAAGGTAAATCCAGGAATGTGCTTCAGAGGCATAAAACTTATAAATTGTTATTTTCATTTCATTATAGATCACTTTTTATTTCACAGAAGGAAAAGAAAGCAAAGAAATCTAAGAAACATCGTCATAGTGATTCATTATCAGATGATGAAACAGATAAATCTCATAAAAAGGTAGGTTATTGTCTGAAGGGTGAAATAGCTGCATCACATTCTGATGATCTGATAACCTTAAAGTTATAGTAGCTGATCTAGTTATTGTCTGAAGGTAGAGAACCCCTAATTTGGGCCCAGGTAGAGAGAACATTAAAGGTGTACATATTTTAAACAAAATAGTTTCTAGGTATAACTGTAATTTTTTCAAAAAGTAAAATATATTTGGGTAATTTGGGTATCATTTAAAAGCCTCTGGACTTGGGATCACTGTAGAACCCTTGTTGAAAGTTTGAAATTAGAATGAGAGGGTTTACTTGACCATTAGCTCAGATCAAAAGTACTTGTTTTTGTACAACTAAACTTCTGGGAACCAATGTGCTCTAATTTGCAATTAATATGGATCAAGATGCAGTTTTGAAAATGGTTACAACTCTCATGGATGATTGATTGATTGTTGCTTCCTTATTAAACATCCAGTGGAAATTACAGTACATCTGCCTACCTTGCTTGATCATCACAATTTAATTTTAAATTTTATTTTTATTTTATTTGTAGAAACATAAGAAACATAAACACCACCATCATAAACATGAAAAGAAGAGTCGACATGATAACAGCAGTTCAAGTTGTGATGGATGAACTTTGTACAAACATTGCTCATACTGGTTTATGTACTGTTTTTCATATGATATAGCAAAATATAGTCACTTCAGCTTATGTGGAGTACATGCTGTTATTTGTGTTTAAACAGTTTGTTTCACTTGGGTTTGTTCCCTCTATTGGGAATTTTGACATTTTATTATTGTTGTGTCCTTTGATAACACACTCAACATTAAGTGTTAACCCTAAAATTGCAAAATGCATTGAATTATCTGAGTATTTGTAAGAACAGGATTTGGAACAAGTTACAAGTGTTTGTTTAGAATGTATTTGGTAATAATATGTAAATGATAAATAAAATCACATTTTTGCCATCCCACGATTAGCTTTTATAGATATCTGTGATAAGACATCTTCAGTAAACTTTGTATGGTTTTATTTTTTAAGAGAGAAACACTACAAAATATATCATTAAAAGTAGTTATGGTGAGACCATAAATATTCCAATATTAGTTATTGGAATTTCCAAGTGAAATCTTAATCTTTTGACACAGACTTGTGAATAGTGATTCTTTTGCAAGTGATTTGATTCAAGCGCAAATGATGAGTCTTATGTAAACAAAACTCGCTTGTGGAGAACCAAATTATAAGTCTGATATCTTTGATTATTTTCATTTCATTACCATAACATACCATAATGAGTTGCAAACTGCCATGACCAAATTTTATATTGAACTTTTGACCAGATATCGCATGATATTGCCATTTTCACCAGTTAGTTTATCTAATTCAGAATTTTTTATCGTTTCACTTATTGTGTTTTTCATTTACATGTTTTATTGAATAGTAGGTCTCATATACCATTGTGGCATTTGTTTTACTTACACTTTTACTTCAAAATGAAAATTTTAGAAATAATATTAAACTTGTCTTTTTGTCTCGCCTGCGACGAAAGTCGCAATATGCACAGGGAGACATAGGGATTACTATCCGCCAGCGGCAGTGTAATCTATTTGTATAAAGCTTTAGGTAGCACTCCACAGTTAGAAAATAAAATTTAAATTGAACCACAAAATGTTTAATCATCTTCTTTTCCTGGCTTTCTAATACATTAAGCCAACTGTTTGTGTCATACATGTGCATTTGTATGTAATCAGTATCTTCCATAAATTTGTGATTTTCAAAAGTTAAAATGGTGGAATAATTCCTTTTTTGTGTATCCATGGCAACATTCTGCATTTATTTACCATAAAATATTGCAAAAAGGGGCATGAAAATGTCGCATATTCCCCCAAAATTTGGTTCAAACTAGAATTTCAATCCCTTTGAGTGATACCTTTTCTGAAACTATTGACATTAATCTACCAAATGGTCAAATAAAAGAGGGACGAAAGATACCAGAGGGACAGTCAAACTCATAGATCGAAAATATAGGATAAGATAACAAAAATGATGGCAGAGAGTTTTGGTGTACCTTTTTTGCATGCATCCCCTGTCAGAGGGGTTCACGCTTATATATTGGCGAGTTTTGGATGTGTCTATGGACCACTCAATATCTAAGCCGGAAGTCGGAATAAAATTTTCGGAACATCTCAAAAGTTTTTGATCATTTATATAGGTAGTTATCTACGTCTTTGATACGATCTCTCTATGGCTAGGCAACCACGTGACATCACACAATCAAAGTAAATTGGAAAGTAATAGAGACTAATTTGCAGTCAATAAATTGTTTACATATTAGAATCTATTTGCCTTTTTACAAAACATATGTGTTCTTAATAATGTGAATGTTTATAAGCACTTTGGTGTGAAAGTCTCTAAACAAGTATAATGACAACGCAATTATATTTGTTTTAAAAAAACGACCCCTGTACACTGTGTGTACCTAGGTCAATTATAACGTGGTATTGTGCACATTTAAACTAATTTATTATGTCTGAAGATTGTGTATTTTCATCAAAGACTTAGAAGAAAACATTCTGGTTTAAATATTTATATTAGATTGGAAAACATAAGATAATAGATATGAGGATAATATTATTATCAAAATTATTCAATTTAATTGATTTAACATAAATCAAAGAAATACAAAATATATACTGTATTTATGTTTCTGTAGAAACTAGCTATATATATATAGCAATAATTGAAGTCAGAATATTTTCAGAGTTTCAATTAAGAAATAAGTATTTTATATGACAAGATACTCAGCTTTAATATTTTTATATATTCATTTGTAAATGAGACATAATAATTAAAACTGAATAAATCCTTGCATCCTACAAAATAAATGTTGATAAACAATAATCATTATATATTTCTACGTTAATTATTTCATACTGTTTTAGTAAGGTTTTATACTTAATTGTTATTTATTTTTTTGTAATGTAGTATATCCATAAAATGGAAAGTAAGATACATTAAATAAGTATTTAAATTTCAAGCGGTCATGAATAAAAATACTTGTGTGTTTTCAATTCACAAAGATATTAAATCCTCGCAGCTCACAAAAAAAACGTAATAATAATTATCAATAATCAAATTTTGTTTAAAAACAAAATTTTTAAAATTACTATCATAATGTAAATTGTTCTATACTGTTTTAGTATGGATTTATAAGTTTTGCTTATATTTTGTATAGTAATGTATTCATATAGTGAAATGTGAGAATTTAAAAATAGATTCATTTGATAAATAAAAACTAAATTACAGAAATCGCTCAAATTTTTCTATAGTTTAGTTTAAGTACTGCTTATTTGAAAATAATAATAAAAAAATATAGGTCACCAATGAGTTAAAAAAGAAATTTCAATTATAATGCCAAAAAATGGCATTTGCACCAAAGGGAGATAACAACAGAAAAAAAGTACCTTTACAAAAATGTATGCTTTTTGAAGGCAGATTGTGAGCATAAATGAACGTGATCCCATTTTTATACGACCGCAAAAAAATTTTTGTGGTCGTATATTGGTATGACGTTGGCGTCGTCGTCGTCGACGTCGTCCGGCGTCGTCCGAAGACACATTGGTTTTCGCACTCTAACTTTAGTTTAAGTGAATGGATCTCTATGAAATTTTACCACAAGGTTCAATACCACAAAAGGAAGGTTGGGATTGATTTTGGGGGTTATGGTACCAACAGTAAAGGAATTAGGGGCCATAAAGGGGCCAAAAATAAGCATTTTTGTAACTTCCAGACATAACACCTGTGTGTTAGTGTATGGATCTCTCTGACATTGTACCACAAGGTTCCATATCACAAAAAGAATGCTGGGATTGATTTTGGGGGTAATTGCCTCAAAATTTTAGGAAAAAGGGGCAAAAAACAAGCATTTTTCTAGTTTCATGACAATAACTTGTGTGTAAGTGTATGGATCCTTCTGAAATTGTACTACAAGGTTCCATATCACAAAGGGAAAGCTGGGTTTGAGATTTGGGGTAATTGCCCTAAATGTTAGGAATTTGGGGCCAAAAAGGGGCCAAAAAACACATTTTTCCTAGTTTCCAGACCAATAACTTGTGTTCAAGTGTATGGATCTCTCTGAAATTGTACTGCAAGGTACCATACCACAAAGGGAAGGCTGGGATTGAGTTTGGGGGTGATGAATCATAAGGGGGTTCAAAAAATTTGGGGGGGGATTTTTTTTTTTCCTTTTTTTCCTTTTTTTTTCCTTTTTTTTTCTTTTAAAATTTTCCATTTTAAGTTGGTTATTTCTGATTTATATTTAAAAGCAAATAATAATGATATGGTAGGAGATACACACCAAACAGGATGTGTAAATTATTATATAATAAGTATTGTGCAATAGCAAGAAATTTTCAATTGCACAGTATTGCACAATAGCAAGAAATCTTCAATTGCACAGTATTGTGCAATAGCAAGAAATCATCAATTGCACAGTATTGCGCAATAGCAAGATATATCCAATAGCACAATATTGCGCAATAGCAAGAAATTGTCAATTGTACAGTATTGCGCAATAGCAAGAAATATTTAATTGCACAGTATTGTGCAAAAGAAGATACTTCATATAAATTGCTTATTTCTTGACCAATTTCAATGGGGTTTTATTCTTGAATTCTTAGGGTTCTTTAATATGCTGAATCTAACCGTGTATTTAGTTTTTGGATTTTGGGCACCGTTTTTAAATTGGTCCACATTGAGGTCCAAAGGGTCCAAAATTAAACTTTGTTTGATTTCATAAAAAATTGAATTTTTGGGGTTCTTTGATATGCCGAATCTAACCGTGTATTTAGATTCTTAATTTTTGGTTCCGTTTTCAAATTGGTCTACATTAACTGCTATATAATTAGTGCAAGTGCTATGATAAATACTGCAAATGCTGTAATTGTTATAGCAAAAGGTATTTTACCTTTATTTGTAGCAAATGCCGTATACTTACGTATCAAAAGACTCTAAAGTATATAATGGTGCATTTGCCATCATAAATATAGCATTTGTACTAATAAGTATAGTAAACTCAGGTAAAAATAAAGGTAATATGAATTTATGATGAATATGACTACATGAACTATTATTGCGAACCCAATGATACTTTTCCACAGATTCACCTGCAAGTTACCTGTCGATTTAAACTTTTGTAAGTTCTTTTGTCCCATCTAATAAATACAATAGCTATTGTTCTCTGTGTAGTTTATTTGATGGGACCTTTAAATTTCTTCCAAGAGAAATCTATCACTCACTGATTAATTTACCTGAACAAAAAAATGAACTGTCAAAAATGAAAATACATGTACAAATACTAAAAAAGACTCAAAAAACTGCATGTGGTGTTGTATTTATTCAATATCAATAATTAATTTTTAATAGTTTCAATATAAACACTGATTCAAAAATTAAAAGTTGATTTCTGAACAAATTCTTTATATTTTCCCTATAAAAATTAGCTTTTTTTTGTGTGTTTGACAAATAAAAACTTGAAAATTATTGTGTTTAAATTAAGGTCTTGATAAATGTATTCTATAACTGAACAACAACAAAAACATGCAAATTCATTGGAACAATACTAAAAATTTTGTCAGAAATAAACTTTTTATAATTAAATCAGTGTTTATATTGAACAGATTGAAAATATATTATTGATATTGATTAAATACAATATTGCATGCAGTTTATGCGAGTTTATACAACTATTTCCCCCAAAAAAGAAGATAATTTTTTGGTCAGGTAAATTAATCAATGAGTGGTAGATTTCTCCTAGAAGAAATTTAAAGGTCTCAGTGAAAAAACTACACAGAGAACAATAGCTATTGTATTTATTCAATAGGATAAGAGAATAGACAAAAGTTTAAATACCCTGGTCAAGAGCAGACAACTCTGTGGAAGACTTTCATTTGGTTCGCAATAATTTCGAAAATA